AAAAATAAATTTAAAAATTAGTCTGTTGTAGTGGAACGTACTTGTAGTCTCAGCTACTTGGGAGGCTGAGGCAGGAAGACTGCTTGAGTCCAGGAGTTTGAGGTTGCAGTGAGCTATGATAACACCACTGCACTCCTCTAGCCTGGGTGACAGAGTGAGACCCTGTCTCAAAAAAAAAAAAAGAAGTATGAAATAGTGTCACAAGGAAATACCAAAGCTGTTGGTTTGTTAGTTGCCTATATCTAACCAAGAAGACTATGGTCATTGGTAAAATAACATGCTCAGCAGAATACATTTCTTAAACATACCTGGAATAGATGCTCTGATATGGTGAACTAACTCCACATAAGCGTCTCTTGAATATCTGTAATAAAGAACAAAAAGAAAAGGCCTACATGAACCAATCTTTTAAAAGAATGCTATAAAAACATAACACTATGGATTCCCACACATAATCACTTCTCATCCACGTGGCACAGCACAAGAGTAGGCTAAATATCCAAAAGAGCCCTTTTGGCCGGGTGCAGTGGCTCATGCCTGTAATCCCAGCACTTTGGGAGGCTGAGGCAGGAGGATCCCTTGAGGCTAGAAGTTTGAGACCAGCCTAGGCAACAAAGGGAGACCCCGTATCTACAGAAATTGCCAGGCATGGTGGTGCTTGACTGTAGTCCTGTGATAGGGAACCAGCAGGCCCTCCTCAATAAGGAGTCATTCAGACCTGAACCAAGATCTCTGATGAAACAGGAGCAGTGGAGAGACTGGTCAAAACCAGCTCGAACTAAGATGGCCACAAAAAATCACTGCTCATTATACCCTGCTTATAATGTATTTGCATACTAAAACAAACTCTCACCAGTGCCATGACAGTTTACAAATGCCAGGGCAACTCCAGGAAGTTACCCTATATGGTTTAAAGGAGGAAGGGACCCTCGGGTTCTGGAAACATCCCACCCCCTTCCCAGAAATCTTATGAATAATCTTCCTTCCACTTAACATAAAATTACATAGAAGGTATAAAATAAGACCCCAGAAACTCACAAAGTGCTACTCTCTGTTGCTCTGAGAGAGAGCTATAGAGCAGCCTCCTTTTTCTTTTCTTACTTCAGTACACTTGCTTTTGCCTTAACTCTGTTAGCTCACTCTTGAATTCTTACTGTGTGAAGCCCAGAACCCATTTGGCCTTCAGGTTGGATCCCAGTTTTGGGGTCCACTTTCCTGTATCAGTCCCAGCTATACTGGAGGCTGAGAAGGGAGAATCGCTTGAGTCCAGGAGTTCAAGGCTGCAGTGAGCTATGATCTCAACACTGCACTCCAGCTTGGGCAACAGAGTGAGACCCTGTCTCAAAAGAAAAAAGAAATCTCTTTTGATCCAAGCTCTACATTGTAAACTAATTTTTTTTAATTTTTAATTTTTTAATTTTTTTAGAGACACAGCCTCACTCTGTCGCCCAGGCTGGAGTACAGTGACCCAAACATAGCTTACTGCAAGCTCAAATTCCTGGGCTCAAGCAATCTGCCTGTCTTGGCCCACACCTGGCTAATTATTTTTTTAATTTTTTGTAGAGATGGGGGTCTCGCTTTGTTGCCCAGGCTGGTCTCAAACTCCTGGCCTCAAGCAATCCTCCTGCCTTGGACTCCCAAAGTGCTGGGATTACAGGCATGAACCACCACACCGGCCATAAACTACTTTAAATAGGCTTTTTTATTTAACTAATAAATCAAGACAGATTAAACAGTGAAAAGGATCTCTAAAACACTTTGCCGCTGTGGAAAACAAGGCAAAGCACTAGTTCCGTACAGCTTGCCTTAGGATACATTCTCCCTTCACTCTAATCTCTGCGATACTTATTATTCTCAAAGAAAGTGAACACAGAGCTACATCTAAATTCCAAGACCTTTCTAAACATTGAAATCAAGAAAAAATAATAACATTAAATCCTAAGACCTAACAAAATTTTAACGTTAAAAGTTAAAGGATTAAAATCTCAAACAGAGTGTGCCAGAACATACAGGCTTTAATAAAAAATAAATGCTTGGGAGGGGGAGGTGGGGATGGGTACACAGTGAGTGTGATGCGCACCATCTGGGGGATGGACACGCTTGAAGCTCGGACTCGGGGAGGGAGGGCAACATACATAACCTAAACATCTGTACCCCCATAATATGCTGAAATAAAAAAAAAATTCAAATAGTATATGTAAGTACACACGGAGTTTGTAAGTTTTTTATATTAATCTATATGCCTTTTCACATAAAAAATGAGATTACAAAATTTATGTCTTGTTATTTTTAAAATCTCTCCTACTATGCATTTGGTTCCCATTTTAATAAAAATGTTGACACTAAGAAATAAAAATATGTAATATTTAAAGATGTAATTTATTTTGTTCATGGCTACTAATGGTTCCTTACAGCTTAGATGCAAATTGTTTGCTAAAAAAGACATGTAGTTAATAAAAAATGAAAGCAAAATAAAAAAAATAAATAAATAAAAATAAATGCTAACCAGGTGAAAATGATTGACCCAGTCCTTAATCTATGCTTATGGAGTGAGCAGAAGCAAGTTCCAATGTCCAGAGGCTAACTCATACAGTAAACATCTATTGAACAGCTACTGTATGCCATGCACTCTACCAGGTTGTTAGCAACATAGATACTCTTTGGTCATTAAGGAAACATGGAAAGGTGTGTGGGATGTCCCCTTTCCAAGAATGTCTGACCCCCATTTTAAAATAAAATAAAACAAAATTTACAGTAATAAGCTGCCATAAGGTTAGTCAGAAAAAGCATGTGTTTTTAAAGATAACAATCCTCCAAAATCAGAACTAATTTAGATCAGAACTTAGTCAGCTTATAAAGAAGCTTACACGAAGGGATAAAATCTTTCCCGTATATCCAGAAACACAAAGACCACAGAAGAAAAATCTCTTTAGTCTTGAGGCCACAGCTGGTTCACACTTCTGAGTATTTCTAGCAGGATGAAGACATCAAAGAATTAGAAAGTTGTAAAAGAAAGAGTTGAAGGCAAAAGAGGGAGAGGGGGAAAGGGAGGAAGAGAGAGAGAGAGAGAAAGGGAGAAAGAAAGAAATGAAGAGGAGCAAAATAAGTATAAAACTAGCAATGGCGCAATGGCTCATGCCTGTAATCCTAGCACTTTGGGAGGGCTGATGTGGGAGGAGTGTTTGAGGCCAGGAGTTTGAGACCAGCCTGAGCAAGAGTAAGACCCCGTCTCTACCAAAAATAGAAAAATTAGCTGGGCATGGTGGTGCACACCTGTAGTCCCAGCTACTCGGGAGGCTGAGGGAGGAGGATCACTTGAGCCCAGGACCTTGAGGTTGCAGTGAGCTGTGATGATGCCACTGCACACTAGCCCAGGCTATAGAGACCCTGTCTCAAAAATAAATAAAGAAATAAAATTTTAAAATAAGTAAATTAAAAATAAATTTAAAAATTAGTCTGTTGTAGTGGAACGTACTTGTAGTCTCAGCTACTTGGGAGGCTGAGGCAGGAAGACTGCTTGAGTCCAGGAGTTTGAGGTTGCAGTGAGCTATGATAACACCACTGCACTCCTCTAGCCTGGGTGACAGAGTGAGACCCTGTCTCAAAAAAAAAAAAAGAAGTATGAAATAGTGTCACAAGGAAATACCAAAGCTGTTGGTTTGTTAGTTGCCTATATCTAACCAAGAAGACTATGGTCATTGGTAAAATAACATGCTCAGCAGAATACATTTCTTAAACATACCTGGAATAGATGCTCTGATATGGTGAACTAACTCCACATAAGCGTCTCTTGAATATCTGTAATAAAGAACAAAAAGAAAAGGCCTACATGAACCAATCTTTTAAAAGAATGCTATAAAAACATAACACTATGGATTCCCACACATAATCACTTCTCATCCACGTGGCACAGCACAAGAGTAGGCTAAATATCCAAAAGAGCCCTTTAGGCCGGGTGCAGTGGCTCATGCCTGTAATCCCAGCACTTTGGGAGGCTGAGGCAGGAGGATCCCTTGAGGCTAGAAGTTTGAGACCAGCCTAGGCAACAAAGGGAGACCCCATATCTACAGAAATTGCCAGGCATGGTGGTGCTTGACTGTAGTCCTGTGATAGGGAACCAGCAGGCCCTCCTCAATAAGGAGTCATTCAGACCTGAACCAAGATCTCTGATGAAACAGGAGCAGTGGAGAGACTGGTCAAAACCAGCTCGAACTAAGATGGCCACAAAAAATCACTGCTCATTATACCCTGCTTATAATGTATTTGCATACTAAAACAAACTCTCACCAGTGCCATGACAGTTTACAAATGCCAGGGCAACTCCAGGAAGTTACCCTATATGGTTTAAAGGAGGAAGGGACCCTCGGGTTCTGGAAACATCCCACCCCCTTCCCAGAAATCTTATGAATAATCTTCCTTCCACTTAACATAAAATTACATAGAAGGTATAAAATAAGACCCCAGAAACTCACAAAGTGCTACTCTCTGTTGCTCTGAGAGAGAGCTATAGAGCAGCCTCCTTTTTCTTTTCTTACTTCAGTACACTTGCTTTTGCCTTAACTCTGTTAGCTCACTCTTGAATTCTTACTGTGTGAAGCCCAGAACCCATTTGGCCTTCAGGTTGGATCCCAGTTTTGGGGTCCACTTTCCTGTATCAGTCCCAGCTATACTGGAGGCTGAGAAGGGAGAATCGCTTGAGTCCAGGAGTTCAAGGCTGCAGTGAGCTATGATCTCAACACTGCACTCCAGCTTGGGCAACAGAGTGAGACCCTGTCTCAAAAGAAAAAAGAAATCTCTTTTGATCCAAGCTCTATATTGTAAACTAATTTTTTTTAATTTTTAATTTTTTAATTTTTTTAGAGACACAGCCTCACTCTGTCGCCCAGGCTGGAGTACAGTGACCCAAACATAGCTTACTGCAAGCTCAAATTCCTGGGCTCAAGCAATCTGCCTGTCTTGGCCCACACCTGGCTAATTATTTTTTTAATTTTTTGTAGAGATGGGGGTCTCGCTTTGTTGCCCAGGCTGGTCTCAAACTCCTGGCCTCAAGCAATCCTCCTGCCTTGGACTCCCAAAGTGCTGGGATTACAGGCATGAACCACCACACCGGCCATAAACTACTTTAAATAGGCTTTTTTATTTAACTAATAAATCAAGACAGATTAAACAGTGAAAAGGATCTCTAAAACACTTTGCCGCTGTGGAAAACAAGGCAAAGCACTAGTTCCGTACAGCTTGCCTTAGGATACATTCTCCCTTCACTCTAATCTCTGCGATACTTATTATTCTCAAAGAAAGTGAACACAGAGCTACATCTAAATTCCAAGACCTTTCTAAACATTGAAATCAAGAAAAAATAATAACATTAAATCCTAAGACCTAACAAAATTTTAACGTTAAAAGTTAAAGGATTAAAATCTCAAACAGAGTGTGCCAGAACATACAGGCTTTAATAAAAAATAAATGCTTGGGAGGGGGAGGTGGGGATGGGTACACAGTGAGTGTGATGCGCACCATCTGGGGGATGGACACGCTTGAAGCTCGGACTCGGGGAGGGAGGGCAACATACATAACCTAAACATCTGTACCCCCATAATATGCTGAAATAAAAAAAAAATTCAAATAGTATATGTAAGTACACACGGAGTTTGTAAGTTTTTTATATTAATCTATATGCCTTTTCACATAAAAAATGAGATTACAAAATTTATGTCTTGTTATTTTTAAAATCTCTCCTACTATGCATTTGGTTCCCATTTTAATAAAAATGTTGACACTAAGAAATAAAAATATGTAATATTTAAAGATGTAATTTATTTTGTTCATGGCTACTAATGGTTCCTTACAGCTTAGATGCAAATTGTTTGCTAAAAAAGACATGTAGTTAATAAAAAATGAAAGCAAAATAAAAAAAATAAATAAATAAAAATAAATGCTAACCAGGTGAAAATGATTGACCCAGTCCTTAATCTATGCTTATGGAGTGAGCAGAAGCAAGTTCCAATGTCCAGAGGCTAACTCATACAGTAAACATCTATTGAACAGCTACTGTATGCCATGCACTCTACCAGGTTGTTAGCAACATAGATACTCTTTGGTCATTAAGGAAACATGGAAAGGTGTGTGGGATGTCCCCTTTCCAAGAATGTCTGACCCTCTCCGCATGGCCTCCAATACACGGCTGCTTCCACTCTGGGCTGGCAGGTGGATCTGTTTACAGATGTTGTCTCTCTCATGAATCAGCTGCAGAACCTGATTGAATAGAACATATTATGGATTATCAAAGTCTCACCAAAGAATCTTGTAAAAAGAAATACTACTCTAACTGTTTCTCTTCCAAGGTTAATTTTCAAGTAATTAAGAGGCCGATTAAACCAAACACATGAATTACCTAATCCTTAACTTTGCTTTAAGCCACCTTCTATCTGTCCCAGACATTTTAGTTGATGGCATCTCTGTTTCAAAGAGTGGAGGGAAGAAAGCAAGCAGAGGTAAGATTCAAGCAAAGAGGCTGCAAACAGGTAGTGCTGACACAACGGTGAGCAGACAAAAAAGGAAAAACATGGCATTTTTTTCATCTAGCTTACAAACTAGTCACTTTAAAAGATACCACAAGGCCGGGCGTGGTGGCTCACACCTATAATCCTAGCCCTCTGGGAGGCCAAGGTGGGAGGATTGCTTGAGCTCAGGAATTCGAGACTAGCCTGAGCAAGAGTGAGACCTGATCTCTACTAAAAATACAAAAATTAGCCAGGCATTGTGGCACATGACTATAGTCCCAGCTACTCAGGAGGCTCAGGCAAGAGGATCACTTGAGCCCAGGAGTTTGAGGTTGCAGTGAGCTAGGCTGACGCCACTGCACTGTACCTAGGGCAACAGAGTGAGAAAAAAAAAAAAGATACCACAAAAAATTGAAACTAGAAGAAAGTATTTGAAAACACATTGACAAAGGATTTGTATCAAAAACCCCTAAACAACTTTTACAACTCAATAAAACAAATAATCCAAGGGGGAAAAAGTGAGCGTGGAGGCCAAAAGACAGACACTTCACCAAAACAAAAAGCCTTCAAAAAAGGTTTCACGTGGCCGGGCGCGGTGGCTCACGCCTGTAATCCTAGCACTCTGGGAGGCCAAGGCCGGAGGATCGTTTGAGCTCAGGAGCTCGAGACCAGTCTGAGCAAGAGTGAGACCCTGTCTCTACTAAACATAGAAAGAAATTAGCTGGACAACTAAAAAATATATAGAAAAAAATTAGCCGGCCATGGTGGCGCATGCCTGTAGTCCCAGCTACTCGGGAGGCTGAGGCAGGAGGATCACCTGAGCCCAGGAGTTTGAGGTTGTTGTGAGCTAGGCTGATGCCACAGCACTCACTCTAGCCAGGGAAACAGAGTGAGACTCTGTCTCAAAAAAAAAAAAAAATGTTTCACATGTGGGCTATTCCATGCCAGGCACTGTGCTCAGTACCTTTGGCCCACTACAGGCATACCTCAGTGATATTGCAGGTTTGGTTGCAGCCCACCACAATAAAGCAAATACTGCAATAAAGCAAGTCACACAAATTTCTTGGTTTCCCAATGCAAATAAAAGTTATGTTCATATTACACTTTAGTCTATTAAGTGTGCAAGAGCATTATGTCTAAAAGAAACAAAGTATATACCTTAATTTAAAAATACTTTATTGCTAAAAAGTGCTAATGATCAATGAGCCTTCAATAAGTCATAACTATTTTGCTGGAGGAAGGTCTGGCCTTGATGTTGATGGATGCAGACTGATCAGGGTGGTGGCTGCTAAAGACTACAATGGCTATGACAATTTCTTAAAGTAAGACGACTACGAAGTTTGCCACATCAATTGACTCTTCTTTCACAAAAGATTTCACTGTAGCATGTAATGCTGTTTTACCCACGGTACAACTTCTTTTAAAATTGGAGTCATTCCTCTCAAACCCTGCCACTGCCTTATCAACTAAGTTTGTGCAATATTCTAAATACTTTGTTGCCATTTCATCAATGCATAGAATCTTCACAAGGAGTAGATTCCTTCTCAAGAAACTATTTTCCTTGTTCATCCATAAAAAAGCAACTCATCATCTGTTAAAGTTTTATCATGAAATTGCAGCAATTCAGTCACATCTTCAGGCTCCCCTTCTAATGCTGGTCTGCTATTTCCACCATAGCTGCAGTGCCTTCCTCCACTGAAGTCTTGAACCCCTCAAAGTCAACCAAGAGGGTTGGAATCAACTTCTTCAAAACTCCTGTTAATGTTGATATTTTGACATCCTTCCGATGAATCACAAATGTTCTTAACGGCATCTCCTTTCCAGAAGGTTTTCAGGTTTTCTTTTTTTTTTTTGGAGACAGAGTCTCGCTCTGCTGCCCGGGCTACAGTGCCATGGCATCAGCCTAGCTCACAACAACCTCAAACTCCTGGGCTCAAGCGATCCTACTGCCTCAGCCTCCTGAGTAGCTGAGACTGCAGGCATGCGCCACCATGGCCGGCTAATTTTTTCTATATATTTTTAGTTGTCCAGCTAATTTCTTTCTATTTTTAGTAGAGATGGGGTCTCGCTCTTGCTCAGGCTGGTCTC